AGTAACTTGGAGTCACTTAGTTTAAATCCGGCCACAATCGAAAGCCATGATTGCAACAAAACCAAAACACATGCAGCTAAGAGCATGCTTATGTTATGTGCACATACGATACGCACTCCGCTCCAATCAAAGTATCCGTCAGTAACTGATATTCAAACCAGCGAATCACACTGTGAGAAGCCGAAATTTGTAAGCAGCGCCGTGTAGACGGATGTATTAAAACTTTTGAACCATGTCAATGAAAAAATCATATGATTTAAATAACGTTTTAGGTAATAGGAGAAACGGCGAACAGTTAATAAAATAACCGCTGGATTGTTTTTGTTAATATGGCATAGGTATTTTCTGAATCTACTTCTTCACCTAATGAGCATCCATCTGTGGTAGTGATCGATTTCGATCTTAGTAAAGCCTTTGATACAGTCCCTTATAGGCGACATACAAGTTAACCAGAAACTCTTAAAGTACGTTATCGCTTCATTTAATTTACTAGAACAAACCTATCTGACCAAAAACTAAATGTAATAGAGGGATGTTTTTTAACTTAGATCTCTCTTGTAAATATTGTCCTACAAGGTAACATTCTAGGTCTTCTTTTGTTTTATCGTAGAGCTTTCTTTTGAGGCCTCCTAATGGAAATAGTAGCCCACCGCTTTAATTTATTTTCTGCTGTGAGCTTACGGTGCATTAAACAAGCATTACCTGTTCATTAATGAAGCATTAAACCTTAATCATGAATTCCGGGCAGAAAGGTTTATTTTCGTGCGCTCTTGTGAGAAAGTCTTACCGATTTATCTTTATATAAATGATATTTCGCGGCCTTTTTAATATTCTAGATCTTTTACTTTTGCTGATCATTTCAACTGTACGCATTACTTTTGATGCGAGCGATACTTAGAACCAATTCTGCATGTAGTTCAACGTGGCTAATCAAGTTTCCATCTTCAAAGTGTCGCTTCATGTGTTTTGGACCCGAAAGGCTACCACAAATAGTCATTTATAGGGCAGCCAAATGACCGAATGTTCCAACATCAAGGACCTAGGTTTAAGCTACACCAACAAGTAAGATCTCTCGCCTCAGGCCGATAGAATTACGGCCAATGCTCTCTTATGATCTCAACCTTCCCAAAATTAAATTACGACATTATTATATAGTTGCGCTTCCTATTCGTGAATACTGCGGCTTCGGTTTACTGAATTAATTTAGCCGGTTGGATATTGAAATGTCTAAAGACATTTTATAAGAATACTCCTATATCCGACACTTTCAAATGCTTCCTACACAAATAGATCCCAGTTAGCGAAACTAAAATCTGTATGGATTCCAAGTATACTGTGTATACCTTCTTGTGCGTCCTCCACATATAAACGCTCCCTTTTCTTTGCTTTCAGGTATAGCTTTCTTTTAAATAGTCCGTCAAGTGAAATGAGGTTTTTAACTAGTCTAACTGGTTCCAAAAGAAGACTGTGCATTTGTCTTAACGAAGATTCTTAAAGCCTTTAATTTTGCTCATAGTTTCCTAGCAGGCTTTTACACGACGCCGAGGAAGGACAATCGGGTATTTAGTAGGCTGTCTTAAAGTTACTTTCTCCCCGTGTCCCCCAGGAATTACAATGTCACTGTAACTATTTCTTACATAAGTTACATGCGTGTGCACAGTGTAAACCGCTTCCTTCCGCTGACTGATAACCGTCATTAGAATTCCATTCTGGCTCCTGGGATGTGGATGCCTCAAGCGCTTTGTCGCTTTTCCGAGAGTCATCATACTCACTGACGATCTCAAGTGCACTACATTTACGTGTCATTCTCACATTCTGGACTACCATTATAGTATCAGCCTAATCTACTCCTTTATCTTTTTTCTCATTGTCTTTGAGCAAGTAAGGGCTCTCTGAACTGTGTCCAACTTTTTTTCACTGCTTCTTTCTCAGTTCACAAGTATTTTCTTATGATCGCTAACTATCGCTACCCTGTAAACATTTGCCCCACCTGGCTGCCGGGGCCAGACGGGGCCAGGTTG